TAGACATGAGACAACAGAGCACGCAGGAGAGACACTGAGAAAAAGAGTAAGACAGGAAACAGTGGCAGTGGAGAGCAGAGAGAAGCTGAAAGGAGCTAATTAATCTAAAAGCTGCTATGCTATTATTTTGGGATGTGAGACAGACGATTAAGTGTACTTGAATGTCCTTACCTGTCCTGCTCTCCTTAAAAAACCCTGAGCCCCATTGTGTTCCCGCCAGCCGGGTGGAAGGACAGTCTCTCTAACAGGCAGCTGACAGGGCACAGCAGGACACACAGTTTACTACATTTTTACCTCAGCATGCAGCCAGCACCTCGTGGATTCCTGTCTCGGCTCCATATTTAGATGAAGAGTTCATTCAGCAGAAGCTCCCTGAGGATACGGAGTGAGAGGATCAAGCCAGCGAGGCCTGAGTCTACCCTGGTGGAAAAACACAGTGGCTGTTTCAATAAGGGCTCCTATCATGCTCCACTGAAGGCCATTTGAAAGTGTGTGTTGACTGGACATCTCTCTGCTCCTGCCATCTCCACTTGTCCTCTTGACCCTGTTAAGAGCTGTGTCTGCACTGATCAGGCTACATACCTATAGCAGTATAACAGTTCATGTTCACTCAGTGTGGACTACACCTACCAACCGTGTATGGGTGTGAACCGTTGACTCGGGGCTACACCTTGTTACAGGCAGTCGAATGAAGCAGAGGAGCGCTTCTAATACACTGAGCCTCGCCTCCATTGCAGTTAAAAAACTAATTTCATTACATGTAGCATTATTACTAAAGGAGGCAGAGGAAGAACTAAACATAAGACACACTGAGCAGAGAGAGCAGGAGAGAGGGAGGGAGAGAGAGAAGTCATTGCTAACTGCTAAAGGAATTAGCAGATCTGAATAGCATGTAAACAGAAACACCAGCAACAGGAAATGAGACGATACTCTTATTGCAGCACAACAATAAAAAGGGTTTTAATTAGAAACGCTTACAAGAAGTGTTGAGTAATGCAGTAACATTAACATGATAGACAGGAGCCACTGAAAAATACAAAAATAACTATGACCAACTGTACATATCAAACTGAGGGAGTTAGATGTAAAGACCTTCCTCTAATAAAAGTCTGTTACCCTCTGCAGATGAGGTAAATAAAGGCTTCTGTATCCCCTGTAAACGCCCCCTGATGATGAAATAGAAACTCTTCACACAAAATAATTTTGAAAGCGCTTTGGCCAATACGAAAAGTCCTACACTCGGGTCGACCAGTAGTGTAACTTCATGACTCAGTCACATGGCATTTGACTGACCAATGAAACTCTAACACTCACTCAGTCACAACTCTATCACTCACTCAGTCATTTGTGGTTATAGGACTGGTCCAGCTGTTGAGGTCTGGAGCTTTTGAACTACTCCCCCTCTGTGTGGCAGCCGTCCTCAGTGCCATCATACTATCACAGTTTAGGTGAACATTCTGCTTTTTCCTACTCTTTATTAGATTTATAAAAAGATCACAGTTTAGATTAAAATACGTTAGGAGCGACCACTGTTGTCATGGTTACAATAATAACCATGTGTTTAAGATTATGGAACAGTTGTGGTCATGTTTTAAGAAAAAGAATGTTGACATGTAAACACTCTATAATGTCAGCTGACTTTTTCATTTGCTCTCGTCATATTTACCACGGCCCCTGAATGTACAAAGATATTGTTTGGGGGCTTTTGCTGATCATAAAAATGATTTATTTCACTAATTAGTGATGGATATGAAAAGCACATAAATGATGTTGTGCTGATGTCAGAGCGTCACACAAATGACGCTCAGTTGATGTTGCATTAAAAACTTATGTCAGTTGTTTTCAACCAGCTCATGGAGCTAACATTAGCTTAAATAGCTAGCTAGCTACAGCTGAGGATATCAAGGCAATGACAATTGTCATCTCAGGGTTGTCAAATAAATTCGAGAAGCTTGTTTTTCTTTCCATCTTAAATTAAATACTTGTTATTTCAAAAACCAGCATGAATTTTGATGATAAATGATGATTTCAAATATTATCTGACCATCAAGATGGAGAAACAGACGTCATCATTAGCAAGTTCAAAGTTAAAGAGTTTCATAGTGAAATGTGTTTAATTATAAAGAAACAAAAACCTAGAAACATGAAAATTCTTCTTTGTCTCATTCACTTTTAGCACCAACTACTTTCTCCCTCTTCCTTTCTATCTTGCATCCTCCACCTCCATCCTCTCTTTTCCTTCTTCTCCCTCTCTCCCCCTCTCTCCTCCTCCTCTATTTCTCAACTTATCCCCTGACTCAAAGGCTTAGGTGGTAATCCCTCACAGTTTTCATCACTTAGAGCACCAATCAAAAAGGGCTTAGCCTGTGTAATCTGCCAGACTATTGTCCCCTCTCCCTCCTCCTTCACTCCTCTTTTCCTTCTCCTCCTACCTGCTCCTCTTTCACCCTCTCTGTCCTCTCAATCTTTCCAGCCTGGTCTCTCCTGCTTCTTGTAACAATTACAAGGTTTTCAGGGCCCAAACACAGTAATACAACTAAGGCCAGTAGGTGCAATGAGAAAACTTTAATAACAACTAAAATGTCCAAGATTTACAGGTCAGTTGAAGGACTGGGAGAGAAACCAAGGGAAATGAACAGGAGCAAAGCAGGCATGAATGCAGGAACCAAATCAAGGAAGCGGGAAACACAAGATAAGGTAGCACAGGAGAACTTGAACAGACCAACTGACACACACAACAGAAGCTGTCTTGTTTCACAGCGGCACGACTAGACTGTCCCATTTCAACGGCTCCTTCAAATGTGGCTGAAAATATGTTCTTCTTTCACTGGACAATGAAGGATCCAACAGGTGGGAAAACTAACCCTATCCCAAGATTCATTGCCTGAGAGCCTGAGGGGCTGCATCCATTGAAGGATGTGATCTATGTGGCCCCTCAATTGGGACACAGCTAGAGACTTAAATACAAAAAAGAGGCAAGGGTAACTGGGAACAGGTAAAACACATCAAGGCGGGGCAGACAGGAAGTAACATATCTGACAGACACACAAGCTAATATCAAAATAAAACAGGAAATAATAAACACAAAGTCAATAATGACACTTTACAAGAGGAAATAGAAAAGCTTTGATAATATAAATAGGTGAATAAAACAAAAAGATTATCAGAACAAACCAAAGGAAAGTGTAGAAGACATGGTTTTATGGTCTGGGTTCATGTGAGGGCACAGCAGTCTGGATGAGGCTGGGGAAGGAGGTTGGAGCATTGGTTTGTTGGTTGGTTTGTGAAACCAGAGCTGCCAGCAGCTTAGCAGCTGGCACCAAACACGCTGCCTCGGGGCCGACTGCATTTGCCTTATTATTTTAGAATCAGTGCCTCTGGATGGCTGGACCACACCTGGGCTGGAGCTCAGGTATCCAGCTTTTATTCCACTGAGATTCAGCTGACACTTTCTCCCAGGATCTGTTTACTACCAGAATCTGAACACCTTCTCATACAGCATTTTATACTAATCGAAGAAAAACAAGTTGTGCTTCACGATGCATGTTTAGAGGGTGTCCAACATGTTGTAATAGTACTTCAACTGAGGTAAAAGACAGACAGAAAGGAGGATGACAGACAAGACTGTTGCCACCTCCCTGTTCTTGGCAGGATCATGAAATTACTTTTCACAAATGTGATTTTAATGATGCTTCCTTGAAAGTCAGACATTCCATTTACTTTACTTTTATTATTTTACATTTTATTGTAAGACATAAAGTCCATCGTCTGGTCTTTTTCTTTGTTTAAACTTACTAAACTTAGCAACTTTATGACTTGTCAAAGGGTCATCATTAAAAACAAAAAAAAACAAAAACAAAAAAAAAAACTACAAATGAGAAATTTTGATAAAAGCACCGTTGTCTCTTATAAATAACGTTTTGCTGAATATATTTAGGAACAGAACTGGTGATGATAAATGTTGGACTTTTCCAGTGAAGTTGTGGATTCAAAGACGTAAGGACATCAGATATAATCATGTCTTTTACTGCCCATCACCCACCCTTCAGATACTCAGTGAAGCGGCATAAATAGACTCATTTCTCAATGATAGTCTCTCCTTACTCTCTCTCTCCCAGCAGCTAGACTCCATCAGTTCCAGGTAACTAATGCATCATGGGAAGAGACAGTGGGAACCCTATGAATGAGCCCCAAGCTAAACTTTCAAACACTGATCCAGGCTGCCTGCTGGTGCCCTGTTTGACCGGCATCACACTAAATGTACAATGCCAGCATGATGACAGCATAATGACATCATGATGACACCACCATGACACCAAAACAACACTGTGATGACACCATGACAATATCACGATACCATGACAACATCATGACAACACCATGACGACATCATAACAACACCATGACGACACCATGATGACAACACTGGAACTTGTTTGGAAAAGTCAGTAAAAAAGATAAGAGGAGAGAAAGACATTGTCAGTGTAGTCTGCATATTACATGAGCTCACCTGTTGTGTCTGCAGGGACAGTGTGTGTCTATATGTGTGACAGAACCTGGCAGAACTTTCTCTGCAGCTCCATGACGATAGTCTGTCAGTGCTGCAGGCTGAAGCTCACAAATAAAGAGCAAGAGGAAAACATCCTTCCATCAAACAGACTCAGTCCTTAGTACAGACCTTCTCATAAAGGGCTTTGAATAGATGAAGCTTGAACCAGAGAACGATTTTCTCCTCTGTTGCCTTGTGAGCTGCACTACCAGTTCTTCTCTTTTCATAGCATGAGTTCACTTAGCAGGTACTAAATATGCAGGGATGTTTCTGGAGAAGCCTATAGATATAACTCCCACTGTTACAAAGTGCATCAAGTCAACCTGCAATTGTTGTATAGGTCCATTAATGGTCAGACAGTTCTCCTCTGAACATGGACTGTGTGTCTCTACCACAGCGACATGCTAATCACAGTTTGATAGTTTGATGGTCTTCTCTTTTCTCCACCTAGACATCGACGAGTGCCAGGAGAACAATGGAGGCTGTGATCACTTCTGCAGGAACACAGTGGGCTCTTTCGAATGCAGCTGTCAGAAAGGCCACAAACTGCTCACTGACGAACGGACGTGCCAAGGTCAGTGACGGACAGCATCAGGTCTGAACACACAGTTTAGAATTTAACAAGTGAAGCACCAAAACACAGAGACTTGTTTTATTGTCCTTGTGGGGAACAATCATTGACATAATGCAGTGTTTCTCAAACTTCTTCAGACCATGAACCACTTCTTTACTAAAATAAAACTCAGACCACATCACATCATCATTTATTAATGAGTTACCAGTTATAAATGATAAGAGCTCATTAATAAATGGTGATGTGCTTTACCCTTTTAACAGTTATAAATATAACTGTGTAAAATGTGATGAAGCAGCAGGTACAAACGCTGATGATGGAGAAAACAAAGGAAGCTCAGTAACTAATGAGATATGAGGCTTAATAGTACATGTGGGCTCACTATTTGGCAAGCAACAGGTCACTGTTGCCCTTTTTGATCTAATTGTGTTATAACAGCTTATAAATGTTGTTAAGAAGCTAATTGATAAACTAGTTAAATCCATGATAATCATGTAGTGAAAATCTGATATCGTTACAGCCCTTATGTAAATGCATAAAAGCTTCAGTGCAGAAATGAGGAAAGGTTTAGTGTGGCCAGTCATCTCTCCCTGCGGACATGATCTGCAGCTGGTTGCAACAGTGTATCTGACTGCCTCTTCTGGGTGTGCAGTGCACATGTAGAAGCCTCGCTGTAATCAGTGGTTATGTTGGTATAACCACAGGTAGATTCCTGGTTGCAAGTTGCAGCAGGCAAGACAGAAGAGCAGACAAACACAAAATGATTTTTATTAACAACAAAACCCTGAGGTGCTTCTTTCCCTGGCCCAAAGCCACCGAGCAGTGTGTGTGTGTGTATGTGTGTGTGTGTGTGTGTGTGTGTGTGTGTGTGTGTGTGTGTGTGTGTGTGTGTGTGTGTGTGTGTTGGATTAACTGTGTATCATCGGTAGTGTTTTTGAGGTCTTTAATAACGTGGTGTTGAGTGTTGTCAGCCACATCACAGCAGCAGTGCCAATGTGTGGTTCCTGCCAACAGCTGCCAGGTTTGTCCTGTCCTCTGACATCAGGCCTGTTCAGCTTCAACACGACCTTAAAATGAAATATAATGTTTAATCTGTCGGCTCTGTCTGCACCCGTGAGCTTCTCCAGAGAAAACAGCTCAGGGTGATACACTACATGCCAGTGGTAGAGCTTTTGCCAACACAGGCTAACAAACCAAAGCAGAGAGACTAATCCTTTGCCATAGTTGCATGAGAAATTTCCACAAATGATTCCCTGTGTTCTGAATGTTTAGAGAAGCAGAGAGATAGAAAGATTCATGTCAGCAGTCACTGTCGAAACACGTCATCCTGATCAAGGGTGTGTCTCATAGAAAGAAAGACAGCAGCCAAACAGAAACCACAGTTTATTTTCTATACCTTCCTTTTACATTAAACAGTTGTAGGCAGCTCCAGTTTATGTAAACTCTGCTTGTGGGCTAGTTCCAAACAGGAGAGCTATTCCTAAGTCCTCACGTGGACAGTTGCCTGGAGTATTTACCTAGCCAACGTCCAGGCCTTAACAACTTCCTCCACATAACAAACTCCTTGTTTGTTATTTGTAGGCCTGTAAAGCCCTGCGGAGCAGCCTGAAATAAACCAGGTGAGCTTGAAGCGCTGGCCTCCATCTCTGATAGGTTAATATTTGGTACTGGACAAGTACACAGAAAGACATGCGTAGGCAGACGTGCACACTCATACACACTCAGACACTGACATAATGGTGAATGTGAGCAGCCCAGACCTCAGTCCAGTGAAGTATTTCAGGATTGGTTTATTAGAATGAGCTCTTGTCCTAGTTCAGTGTGTAACTCGTATTTGTTTACTGTTATGTCCAGTGTGATTAGCGACCTCTTTAGTCTTTGGGCAGGAGCTTGTGTTTGTCCATAAATGAGTCAGGAAGAATGTGATGTAAACACTCTTCCCTCTGACCTTTGCTTTCATCAGTGTATTGGGACAAAACCTCAGCGGGCTGATTTATATATTATATATTTATAATTTATTTATTTATTATATCCTCTGCAATCCTGCAAGGTTGTTTGGTGGATCAAGGTGGGTGGGGCTTGTTGTGACTTCACGAAGTTCCAGAAGTCCTGACGGCTGGTTTTAAAGCTCAGTTTCTGAATACAGGCTGTGTGCATTTCTCTGTGGACTAAGCGCTTTGATACTTTCACAGTATTAAAATAGAACCTAGACCTGCTTTATAATCAAACAGCACATGGACATCTACCTTTATACTATATGGACCTTTAATATGTGGAGGATCCAGTTGTACCCTCATTGACAGGACATCACCAGGTTTTCATACAACAGCTTTCTTACAGCTGAGTCTCTGAACTGATGCTGCAACCTTCAAATATTTTCCCTCAATATGAAACAAACCAAGGACCTGGATGATATTTGTTTTGGCTTTTGACACAGCTTGTGTTATTCTTAATTACATAAACCTAATAATGTATTTCAAGCAATCACACAAGAGGGAGTGACATTGTAATTGAATATCAGAATATCTTTCCAATTCCTCTACATATAAATGGATGACATTCAAAAGTCTACGGTGGCCCTGAGAGCTGAACACACTGCAGCTTAAGAAAACACATGCAAACAGAGAAAACACAAACAAATTCAGTAAACATCTTCATAAATTTGACAACACATGCCGGCAAATACTCACAACACAACAGAAGTGTTTCCAAGGGACACTAAAAACTGTTGAACCCATCTGGGATGCACTTGTTCAATCCTTTATGACATTTGGAGGTAAAAGCATTGAACAAGTGTGCATGGATGTACCATAATACATGTATTATGCATTATAATACATCCATGCGACTGACACAGACCTCCATCTGATGAGATCTTTGCTTTTAAATGTTTAATTACAGAAAGTGTTTAAACCCATGTCATAGTCATACATTCTGTCAATGTGTTACTTATGGATGGAATTATAAGACCTCACTTTGAGAACCAGTGTTTTAACGGGACACCAGCGGAATTTAGTTATTCACATCTATAAAGTTGGGAGACAATTATTTAATGCTGGCTGCAACACAGCATCTTTGGACTGATGTAAATGTGAAGCCTCCATGAGGGCATAAACAAATGGAGCTTGATTTGATGATGATGATGACGATGATGATGATGATGATGATGATGATGATGATGATGATGATGATGATGATGATGCAGCTACAGTACATGTATCTCTCTGCTCTCCCTCAGACATTGATGAGTGCTCCTTTGAGAGAACCTGTGACCACACCTGCATCAACTACCCCGGCAGCTTCGAGTGCCTGTGCAACAAGGGATACATCCTGTACGGTCTCACCCACTGTGGAGGTGAGACTCAGATTCACCTCATTCCCCAACCCACAGCCTGGAAGTGGCTGCGTGACACAGCTGAAGTGTGTGAGACTGTGGGTGAAGTGTGTGTGCAGGGTCACTGAGCATATGCACTCTCACGCCTCAGTTCCCCTGAATAACTCCTCCCTGAGTTCACTGTGTTTGTGTGTTTAATATGTGTGTGTGTGTGTGTGTGTGTGTGTGTGTGTGTGTGTGTGTGTGTGTGTGTGTGTTCTGTGACACACCTGGTGTTCAGGCAGCACATAGCTCTTACTGCTGCTGCTGGACTGAGTGACGTCTCTGATGGAGTGTATCTGCAGCATGTTGACAACATATTGTTTTTACAAGTAGTTAAGAGGCAGAGGTGTTATCTGACCAGGGCTAAAGTTAAGTCTTCAAGAAAAAAGAGTTTCAATACTCGACCTGACATGAAGCCGCAGGTGGAATAAGATGTAAGAGTTTTTTCTTAGAAAGAGAAACAGAAGAATGAGGAAAGAGAGAGAGAGAGAGAGAGAGAGGGAATATTAAGGATCTAAATGAAAGAAAACATAAACAGGAAAGAGAAGATCTGAGACACATCAATCCTATAAACACCTGGTGTTATCTGTGTGCTGTGTGAGAGATTCACATGAAGATGCATGTTCATTTATATGGTCACACCTTCATCTGTAGAATCACATATAAACCTTCTGGTTCTCCACTGTCTAATCAAAGGAACAAACAGTGGCAGTCACTCCCTCTCTGACTGTCATACTCTCTGTGGTTTTGTCTTAGACATAGACGAGTGCAGCATCAACAACGGCAGCTGTGAGTATGGCTGCATAAACACCCAGGGCAGCTACGAGTGTGTGTGTCCGCCTGGACAGAAGCTTCACTGGAACAAGAAAGACTGCATTGGTGAGCACCAGCTCCGCGTGTGTGTGAGTTTGTGTTCGTCTATAGAGGGGTTCCTCACTGCAGGGCTGAACTCAGGTATATGTGTGTGTGTGTGTGTGTGTGTGTGTGTGTGTGTGTGTGTGTGTGTTTGTGTGTGTGTGTGTGTGTGTGTGTCCAGGTGGTTGTCATGGTGATGTGACTCTGTGTGTTCCTCAGAGGCGGTGAAATGTCTGCCCAATGGGAAGCCAGCGCCCCGAGCCCAGCTGACCTGCACCAAGAGCGGAGGGGCAGAGGTGTGCTCGCTGTCCTGCCCCTCCAATGCCCTCTTCCTCGCAGGTACACACACGCACGCACGCACGCACGCACGCGCACACACACACACACACACACACACACACACACACACACAAAAGCATGTAGAGGATTAATCCTAATATTTATAACGAAAAAATTATTATAATTATTAAACATTTGCCATATACAGCTATCTAATAACTGTTGAGATGTTTCAACCAGAAATGTCAACATGATGTCATGATGTCACTGGAGGGAAGGTCGGGCATCAAGCTTCTTCATTTTGAAATTATTTTGGACTAATATGTCCTGTTGAAAAAGTCCTCGACTACTGACATCCTCCACTTCCATCAAGCAAGCTGCAGTCAGGTGGAGTTTGGAGAAGCTGCACTGCTGTTTCCATTTAACCAAGTTCCAGTTAAAAACTTCAAATCAAGGTTTTTCTTACTAATTAAATCATTAATTAAGCCAGAGACTTGAGCCACAGTCTGTGGAATCAGATTAGATAAAGTAGCTCACAGTGGTCACAGTGATATCTGGTGGACTCTGGTGACTTTAAGTGACTCTAAGCTCACAGTACCCAGTAGTCCCATGTGGTCTCCCATCCAGGTACTAGTCAGACCCGACCCTGCTAAGTTTCTGTGATTGGACCTGGGGTCAGATTCAGAAATGATGCATACAAAGCAAAAAACATGCGTACGCCATTTCGCTTGCACATAAATTGGTATTTATAAATATATGTCACACATTCCTCTGATCATGTGAACACATTGTTTTCCAGAGCGAAAACCAACTTCACTGACCTTCATTTATTATCATCATTATAAGTTTTACTGTTTACACAGAAATAACAATTTTACATTAATAAACAGAAATAATGTGTTTGTGCTCAATGTTTCCTTCAGCATTGTTTAATGTCCTTATTATTTACTGTGAGTCATTCTTTAACTGTTTGATACTATGTTAATATTTACTAATCACAGTGTTAGAGCCTCTGGAGCCTCATTAATATGATTCTAGTCCCAATAAATGAAATTCAGACTAAAACAGGACTTTACATTAGAATGATTGTAAGAAAGTAAACTGATGCATGGTTTTACCTCAGTTTCACAATCAGTGAAATTCTTCTTCTTCCTCGTCTTTCTTCTCTGTGTCTGATCACTTGTGATCACTTCTTCTCTGTGTCTGATCACTTGTTGCACAGGCAGTGTTTTTATCCAAACTGATTGATGAAGGGAGGGTCTTCATTAATGGCTAATTGTTGTTGCTAATTTGTTAATGAGTGAGATTTATAAAGTGGAACCATATGAACACACAGCTTTATAATTCTGATGAAAAGAATGTGTCAGAATATTTCTGGTTTTGTGCATACACAAAGTTTTAGTCATGAATATACACAGAGTTCTATGAATCCAGCCCCAGATCACGCATGTTGAGGGTGTTGAGCAGCAGTCTAAGACATACAGGTCATCATCTGACTGAGTGACTATGAGAGATCACTGATGGTATTAATGATAAGTTGGGAGGACTGGTATATATGGATGTGTTAGTAGAAGTGGTGCGGATGAGAATGAACTTTAGAGAGAGAATGAGAGAGACACTTTTTTGTTTAATTGCTCATTTTCCTTAATTCTCATTCAGTATGTTGCAAAAAAACACAGCTTTTCCCTTTAAGTATGTGAGCCAGTGAACGGCAGCTGTCATCCTGCAGGCTCTGCTGCCCTCTGGTGGATGTAGCTCACAGTCACAGCATCTCTCGATCCTCCTGTGTGTGTGTACACTCCTCGGGGGGCTCTCCACTCTCACTCTGTGAGGTTTATTGCCTCACTCCTCCCAGCACTTTGCTGGCACCTCGTCATCTCCTTCTGCAGGACGACTTAACACACATCCCTAAATCCATTACTTTTTGATCACAGGGTCTTTTTTCCATAGCGTGGCACTCGCTTCGTTTAACTTGGCAGCCATTGTGTTTGAGTGATGGATAGTTTTCCGGTATGAGGTGAAATATTTGTTCTCTGTCTCTTTTGGAGAGCGTCTTAATTTTAGGGGGAGGGAGCTGTTTAAATTCCTGTGGCTGAATTCAGCCCAGACTCTTATTTAATCGCTTTTATGACCTCAGGAGGCTTCATCCCCTCATTTCTTACTTGAAATAAAATGAAATGTGTGTGTGTGTGTATGTGTGTGTGTGTGTGTGTGTGTGTGTGTGTGTGTGTGTGTGTGTGTGTGTGTCTTACAGACTCAGAGAACAGCTACACACTGAGCTGTGGAGTGCCAGTTCAGCCTGGTAAAGCTCCTCAGAAGAGGAACACCACCACTGCCTTACCCACCTGTGCCGGTACAGTAAGCTAAGCATTATGGGAAATGTAGTTTGACTTTCTGTATTAAGAAAATGGACAGGACAAATGAAGCTACGTCTTTCACCTGCTTTTTGCCTGTTCTACAGCTTACTAAACAGCTGGGTTAGAAATATGTTCATTTCTGTGAGTTTCACTTTGTTCTGTTCTACTCTAGATAATGCATTTGATCCGGAGTCAAACACATCTCTCCCATTGTGGCATGCCCTATGGTTAATTTTCTCAACTTAACAAAAGTATGAAAAAGATCAAAAGTGCCCATGTCAGGAAACTAAACTCTTTATACTTATGTCTGAATATAATTTATTCTGACCTCTTCCTTATTTTTATTGAATTATAATTTTAACGGCTCAACTCTTTCTTATATATTTCTTTCATGATATCTCATTTCAGCAGTTCAATCCTGTTTACTTAAATTTTATGGTTAGGAAAGTAGTGTTTATCCTCCATGTGTTATAAATAAAGTTTGTTAAAATAAATAAATAATAAATAAAAAATAAACTTTGTGTAGGTGCAGTTAGATTATTTTCCTTATAAACTCTCCTTCACATCTTTCTTTCACCTCAGGACGTTTTCCACTGAGGTGGAGGAGACATGGTTAGAGAGCAGATTATTTTAACTTGTCGACCTCAGCTCTGGTGTGGGCAGACATCACTGTGCAGATGAGAGTGTGATACATGAATATGTGTGTGTGTGTTACAGACCTGCTGTGAGTTAAGAGAGGCAGCTAGTAACATTATTGCAGCAGAGTATTCTTTAATAGTAAATAAAGACCTAGTTCAGATTTAACTGTTGGCACTGCCCTGTGTCATGTTTAACAGTCTGCCATGTTTTTCTGCTGTGTAAAGACACGCTGACTCCACCTATCAAACAGAAGGCCAGGTTTAAGATCAAAGATGCCAAGTGTCACCTGAGGCCACGCAACAAGGAGAAACACAGAGAGGCATCCAGGCAGAACCTGCAAGGTAAAGAAGGTCTCACACACACTACATACACACTACAGACACACACACACTATCTACAATCTACAGATTAACTACCAAGCAAAAAACTGCACATGATTAGAACACCTTCTGGACCCATATTCACAAAGCATTTTATCTTACCACTACGAGTTCTCCTAAGTCACACTAAAAGTCTTACTAAGGAAAAGGGAAAACCCCAAGTTAAGAGTGTGACTCTGAGACCACAGTGACTGGTTGATGAGAGATGGTCTGTGCATCACCAACATCCCACAGTAATACATAAAAAACACTTAAAAAAACGAATTCAAACTGAATAATAATGGATTAGGTGTTGTTTACAAAAGTAGTGCATTCTCCAAAATGCATCTGTATAAGGTTTGTGTCGACTCAGGAGAATTTAATTTTACTATAAAAACTTACATTCAATTTATTCAATGTAAAAATAAAAAGCTCACCTGTCATAGACTAACCAATTACAGGTAACTGGCAGCCTATTAGCCACGGCCTGTTGTAGCTGTGCCTGTTGTAATGTAGCTGTGGTCCCAGCAGTGGGTTGAGGTGTGAGAAGATTTCCACTGTCCCACACCAGGTGACATCCAGTTGGAATATGATCCTTTCAAACAGCTGATCAGGTCACTTTCCATTAATATCCATGACCTGTGTGTAGATCCTGGACACTGTACAACAATGTCTTCAGCTGTACAGGCAGCATCAATACAACCTGTGTGTTGATGGTGTGATTTTTTTCCTGTTTACAAATACCTCCTCGTTTTGTGATGATGCAATAATTTTTACATACATTCCATCTCTGGCACCAATCACACAAAGTAGACTGGCCATAAAGCTGCTTTATTTCTCTATTGAACATCTAAAGGAAGGTGTATGAACAGAGACATTTATTGTTTGGTGACTAGATTGCCTTACTGAGAGATCTCCAAGTTGTCAGCAAAGTTGCATTACTGTATCCCTGTTGTCAAGTAACGCAACGTTACCAAGCGCTTCATTTCCGCACTGATTGCGTTGTTTCAGTTGGTTGGAGATGTTATTTAATCCCTCACAAACTCCACAACGATCATTATTCCCTCGTGATTGATTCGTATCTGTTAAGTAATTCAGCATCGTTTAAGGTTCATGGTGACATGGAATGACAGCAGCCCCTTAAGATTCTTTGTGATTTGGTCTTAGTGAGTTAGGATTCCTCTCCACTGCTTCTAACATCTCCCAGAGTTAGGAGCTATTTTTAGCGCTAAGTGGCTTACTACTAATTACTAATTACTCTTTACTCTTAGTCAGACAAATGAGGAGTCCTAAAGTGAGGACTGACACGCCCATTATTTTTAGGAGTTTCTCCTAAATTGGCATGGAGCTGCTTTTAGCGTTAAGATGCTTTGTGAATACGGGCCCAGATCTTTATCTTTATCTTATGACACTATTCCTTCTCCTCCTCTTCACTCCACACTTGTGTTTTTCCACCTGGAAGGAGGACAATTCCCCTGCACTGACAACTGCCAGGTAACTTTCGTCAACCTCAAGTGCGACTCATCCAAGAAGCGCCGGCGAGGACGCAAATCGCCTTCGAAAGAGGTTTCCCACATCACAGCTGAGTTTGAGATAGAGATGAAGGAGGAGGAAGCCTCAGGTGTGATATTTTGTCTTACCTGTCATGTACTGTAGATCTCATGTCAATCTTTGAGATACGAAATCGTATCACGTTTGCCTCAGAATCCTGTAATGTGGACTGTGTGCGGGAGAAGATGAAGCAGAAGCTGCAGAGCGCGATGCGAACGCTGAGGAAGTCCATCAACAAACAGCAGTTCTACATCCAGTTCTCTGGGACAGAGTATGAGGTGGCCCAGAAGCCATCCAGAGTCCCAGAGGGCGTGGAGGCGTGTAGCACCGGGCAAGTCCTACAGGAGGGAAAGTGTGGTAAGTGTTTAACTCATGATGTTGTCGTGATGACAAATATCAACAGGAAGTCACAGGAAGTACTGACCTGTATTCCTCCTCCTCAGTGAGCTGCGGTGTGGGGACGTTCTACAGCGGAGAGCAGGAGCAGTGTGTCCAGTGTCCTCCTGGGACGTACCAGGACACGGTGGGTCAGCTGTCCTGTGAGCCATGTCCCAGCACTGAAGGACAGGGTGTCGCAGGAGCCAAGAATGTGTCTCAGTGTGGAGGTATGTCACCTTTTCATCATGACACCAACAGTCTTACATCATCTTAAAACTGTCATCCCTCACTGAAAGAATTGATATATGTGTCATCAAAAATACTGGAGCTGGTTCAGTCCCAGTCAGGATGAAGGAATTTACAGTCCGTTAGAGAATCTTTGGTCTTTCTCCTTCTGATAATAACGAGTAGACTTTTGTTTTCCTCTTTTACTTAACGGACAAGAAACTGAGACATTTTAATTTCCATGGTGAAAATAAGTGCAATAAATCAGCCACAACATTAAAACCAGTTACCTGTTTTAATGTTGTGGCAATGTGTAAATCTATTGACTGGGCATCACTTTGTGGTCATTAAAGGTCTGTGTTGTATAAAAGTAGATGTCCATGTGTAGTTTGATTATAAAGCAGGTCTAGGTTTTATATTACTGTGAAAGTATCACAGCCTGTTTTCAGCCTTAAAACCAGCCGTCAGGACTTCTGGAACTTGGTGATGTCACAATGAAGCAGTCTCCACCCTCAGCCACACCCCAATCCTCGCCAACCTGGACCCACTATCCAACCTTGCAGGATTTGGTTTCTTTGAGTCTCTCTCTCAAATTAAATCGAAGGCAACTGGACTTGTATTTGTCTGTGGAAGACGTTTCACCTCTTATCCAAGCGGCTTCATCAGTTCATCATGTATTGGTCTCTCTAGTCCGCACTAGTCTGACTAGGTTTCTTTGAGTGTTTACCTGAAATCTGCTCAGAAAACAGTCAGCCAATCAGAAGAGAGACTCAGAGCCTCCTTTCTTCTGATTGGCTCACTGACCTGTTGTTACTAGAGCTCCAGAGAGAAGCCTGAGAGAGGAGATGTAAAACTACACTGAGACGGTTTTCTGGTTCTTAAAACCACAAATATATCTTCTTATGGATCAACACTTCAAATAAAACACAGAAGAAGAGAAAAATATGGAGCTTTAAAACAGACTGAACCTGAGCTACATCCACAGGAGAGATCCACCAGTGTTAGTGTTACACAGTTACTGAGTGCACTGAGAAACATTCTGACCTTGTGTAATTGTGACCTTCAGGTCAGTGTCCAGCAGGTCATTTCTCTGCTGATGGGTTTCGTCCATGCCAGCTCTGTCCACTGGGCTCCTATCAGCCTGAACCAGGCCGAGTCCTCTGCTTCCCCTGTGGAGGAGGCCTCATGACCAAGTATGAAGGATCAGTCTCTTTCAGGGACTGTGAGGCTAAAGGTGAGGCTTTCTGTCTGTCTGTCTGTGTGTGCATGTGTGTGTTTCTTTCTTCAAAAAAGAGACAAATCTACTACTACTACTAAACTTGTTGGACAAACCTTAGCTACTTTCCATAGCAGAAAGTTGTGAGAGCAAGGTCAGGCTTTGCCTTCGCAGACCACTCTATGCTGACCGCACAGCAGCTGATACAAATGAGCTTCTAACTTTCTCTGTGAGTGATGCTGGTCATAAAATCAGGATTTTAGCAGCAGCTTGAAGTGACTGCTGGTTAACATGTAGCCTTAATGAAACACACCTCTGGATAGAGATGACCCAGAGATGAGGAAAGATAAGAAACAAGAGTGAGAGTGATGGCGCTGGACTCAGGAAAGAGGAGAGAGATAAGAGAACAGAGATAGAAGAGGTCACTGGAGGTTGTGGCAAGTAGAGATAGTGTGGCTGGGGGCTGATTGAGGGGGATTGAGAAGGATACAGAGACATGAAGTGTGGTAACAGTGATGTCTGTAGTAAAGTATTGGCAGGTAAAGACGAAATCCAGTCTCCTCTCTTTTTTATTATTTTATCTTTACTATTTTCTTCATTTTTACTTGATTGTAATATCCTACCTATTTTTTCTGCTTTTACTCACTTTAATACATGTCCTCTGTTTTACTATTTTATTATTTTATCTTTATCAGTCTATTGTTATCTTTGCTCTCCAGTCTTCAGTGTTTACTCAGTTCCTGCTGTTATTGTCTTATTTTTATTGTTATTTGTTCATTTGACTTGGTCATTTATTGTTCTGTGTGTAAATGGGTGTGTGTGTGTGTATGTGTTGTGGTGGTGGTGGTTGTGGTGGTGGTGGTGTGTGTGTGTGTGTGTGGGGGGGGGGGGTATTGCTTTTATTCTGCTTTTATGTCACCTGCTTTTTTGTTATATTGTTTGTACAAAATAAAGATTGATTGATTGATTGATTGATTGATTGATTGAGTGACTGAAGAGGACCTGGCTGAGAGGCTGGTGCACAATAAATATAAGACATACTATATAAGCCATTAGTTTACAGATGTGTTTGAAACAGCAGCTTATCTGTCCACAATAAGTGCTTTCTATGTTCCAGGTATGAAACCTATTACACCTGTGTAATGTATCTAGTAGATTGACCTGTTATTAATGTGGTTCAGACAGAGTTCCCCCTGACTTGTCCCCATCCCCCCACAGTGCACTGTGCTCCTGGACATTACTACAACTCCAGTACCCACCGCTGCATCCGCTGCCCAGCAGGAACCTACCAGTCTGAGTTCGGGCAGAACTACTGCATCACGTGTCCTGGGAACACCACCACCGACTTTGACGGTGCCACCAACGTCTCCCACTGCAAAAGTAACGCTGCTCATTACGTTCACTGTTTGTTTTCTTAAATCACTCATTATTTCAGTCAGACTCCAGAGTCAGCTGCTGTAGTGAAAGCAGTTAAAGTGTTTTAATGATTTTGTCCTCAGACCAGCTGTGTGGAGGTGAGCTGGGAGAGTACACAGGCTACATTGAGTCCCCTAACTACCCTGGAGATTATCCGTCCAACGTGGACTGTGTCTGGACCATCAACCCACCACACAAGAGGAGGATCCTGATCGTGGTCCCAGAGATCTTCCTACCCATCGAGGATGAGTGTGGAGACGTGCTGGTCATGAGGAAGAGTGGTAATTCTACACTGAACTGATTACGCAGATATATGGTCTGATTGTTGACAGTCTGATTTAGATTATCATATTTAAAGCAGGTTATTGCTGTGTTTTCAAAACACAGAAAGAGGAAGTAAAGAATTTAATCCATGAAAAAAGTAATAATAATAAACACAGTACAGTAGATTAGAAAATGCAAATGTGCAAAAGAAGTATAGACAAAAGAGCAAAAATGGAAAAGTACAAAGTAGATAAACAGGAATTTAGTAGTAAATTAACAGTAAAGTGTAAAAATAAGGAAAAGTGTCACGTGGGTCAACAGTAAAGTAACAGTAGTAAGAACAGGGATGTGCAGAAGTAAGTGATTTGAAGCAGTAGATTGTGGACATTATTCAGCTTGATGAGAAAGGAATTATATAACTGAATGGCCACAAGAAGGACAGACTTCCTGTGGAATTCAGTGGAGAACTACATGCAGTGGGTCCAGCTCCACCCTCCACCACTGAGCCAGCCTTCAGAATCAGTCTGTTGGTGTTAGCCTTTCTCAGGTTTCTGCCCCAGCAGAACACATCAGAGAGAATGGTTACTGTAGAGGGCCACAGAGTTCCAAGTCCAGTCCAAGTGGACACCCCCCAAATAACAAAATTAAACTTCTGGCCCAATTTATGCCTGGGTCCTCGACCCGAGTCCGGCCCATAAGCTTCCACATCTGGGCAGAGGCCAGTCGTTATCCTCCAGTATTGACTGACAGCCTTATTTTCTGTGTGTGTGACAGAATTGGTCCAGATGTGAAAGTAGGATCTGACAATCATGCTTTATATGGGCCAGATTTGGGCCATGGAACCAGGTGTTTACTGGGCCAGCTTCTGTAGTCGGGATGCAGATAATAGCAGTTAATAGTTATCTATTGAGCTATCTTTTGAGTTATCTATTAATAGTTATCTATCAAGCCGGAGAATGAATCAAGGTCTGATGTGGACTTGCAACAGGTATAATAAGTATAATAAGTATATTTCCCTCTTCATATTTGGGCAGATGTTTACATGTTTAGATTTTTACATCTGCCGGCTTCTACAAACAACACACAAAAACAATGATGCATTCATAATCTTCAGTTAGCAGCTGAAACAATGAGGCTACATAACGTTGCGCCAACCCCGGACACAGGACCTTCTTCTTCTTCTTCTTCTTCTTCTTCTTCTTCTTCTTCTTCTTCTTCTTCTTCTTCTTCTTCTTCTTCTTCGTCTTCTTCTTCTTCTTCTTCTTTACTTTCTTGCTCTCAGATACATCTCAGAAACAAGTGTAGCAAATGTTTTCACATGGTTTTTACTGAAGCAGTTTGGTTCACTTCAAAGTTTCTTTCTCTCTGCAAATAGAAAACCTGTTTTTTCCTCTTGGTTTTGTTTAACTCATCCACTGATACAGACCAGAACACGTACAGGTTTGAAAACTCCCTTATAGTCCCAAATGTGGAGTTCTGTTCTAACGTGTGTGCTCTTTGTCCAGCCCTGCCCACCTCCATCACCACTTATGAGACATGTCAGACTTACGAGCGGCCCATTGCCTTCACCTCCCGCTCTCGCAAGCTCTGGATCCAGTTCAAGTCCAACGAGGGCAACAGTGGCAAAGGATTCCAGGTTCCATATGTCACCTATGACGGTGAGTCAGCTGACTGATTTTTATACTGCTATCAATCTTCACTCAACAAGAACTACGTACAGCTCTTTTCACTGTGATGTCAGCTCATGGCTGAACCTGTTGTGTTCCAGAGGACTACCAGCAGCTGATAGAGGACATAGTGAGAGACGGCAGACTTTACGCCTCTGAGAACCACCAGGAGATACTGAAGGTACTGAAGGATCATCACCGGACTTATGGTCCTGATGTTGGATTCTCAGGACAGGGACATTGTTGTCACAAATCCTGCCCTTGTATAATTGGTTCAGTATGGTGACACTCTTTTGGTTTCCTACAGGACAAGAAGCTGATCAAGGCCTTGTTTGATGTCCTGGCCCACCCCCAGAACTACTTCAGGTACACGGCACAGGAGTCCAAAGAGATGTTTCCTCGCTCCTTCATCAAGCTGTTGCGCTCCAAAGTCACCAGGTTCTTACGGCCGTACAAATAGACAGGACCTCTCCACTGTCCTGTTACAGACCCCCATCATCCTGCGTCATTCCAAATCCAGCCCCTACCCCCTTGGTCAAATGGTTGTACCCGTTCTATGACTAGACGTCTTCATTTCTTGTATTTGTCTTTAATCCTGTTTGTCACGTGATGCCTTTCCTCCTCTTAGACACCTTTGAGTAGTAATACATGATGAACTGAGACCCCTCCCTCCAGTGAGTGCAGCTTTTCTATCGGGTTTGACTGATATGAGTGTTTGAAGGCCAGTATTCATAGTTTTATAAAGTAGCAGAAGACACTTGACATATTCTATGTGTATATATTGTTTCTTTAAATCTAAGCATTTTATACCAAACAGGTACAAGTATTAAGTGTTTTTCTCACTTTGGTACAATTTATCAGCTCACCCCATCTATATGCCTCATCAATAAGGGAGCAACATCTGGAAACACTGGTGGCATTTGTTATAACTGAATATTACAGTAAATACTGAGTTGACCATGTTAGAACAAAATCAAAAATATATGAAATCAGGCTGTCATGTTTTCCAAAAGTCAAGTTTGGTCAAATTTGAACACACATGTTGCTACGTTAAGATAGCACCAATGCTAGCTGTTTCTCCCTCTTTCCAGTCTTTAGCTGTGTCTCAATTCAGGAACCACATCTTTCATAAGACACGTAGCTGTTGTAGACCAGGAAGGCCGAACCGCAATGAAATGGTCTAGTCTAAGGAGAACTTCCACTTTGCTTGCACTTACTGTTCTGTCCCAAAGTGCGGCTCCTGTCACCTAGCAAGCTTGACAACATGTAACTATTTTTTTTTACAAAAACTTTTAAGGCCATTGGTTTTAACAGTTTTACTGTTAGCTGTTGAACTGAGCTTAAACCCAATAATTACATTTAACAGTGTAATCCTCAGGCTCTCTTTCTGCATACGCGCAATGAATTTTGGGATAGGTTGGGCCACGAGGGATCCATCTGTTGGGACCTTGTCCAGAAAAAGAAGGACGCATTTGAGGGAGCCTTTGAAATGGGACAGTCTAGTCGCGCCGCTGTGACGCAGTCGGAGGATGTGGCCCCTGAATTGGGCCACAACTTTTATGCTTTTATGCTAAGTTAGTCCAACAGTCCCCTGGCTCTAGCCTCATATTTTGAGTGTGGTATTGATCTAAACCTTGGCAAGAAAGCAAATTTCCCAAAATGTTGAACTGCTCCTTTAATAATTGTACATTATTAATCTGCAAAGCATAAAAAACTCCTGATTATGAATTCTTAAAGTCATAAAAGTCTGTGTTATCATAAAGTGGAACCTCCAGTATTTAATAAAAGGCCAGTATCAGCAAACCCACATGTCGGTCAAACCCTGTGCCTGCACAACATATCCCGTATCTTCTTTTCTCCTGCACCTTCTCTAACAGCTCCACACTCTTCTCTTCCCTTCGTCGACCTCTCTCATGTTGTTTTGCCCTGCTTTGTTTTCTGTGTCTTTGTTTTGTTTTTGTAATATTTATACTGAACATGTCAGAACTTGCAGAAGCCCACATCACAGATGTAAGACGTGTGCATTTGTGTGCACACACACAGGTGTACACGCCTACACAGAGTGAATGGACGTATCCTGAGTTAAATGACTTCATTGGTCCCGATGTGCACGAGACACAGATGAGAAAACAATGGGTGCACTTAAAACACATTTTAACATGGAAAATAAATTGAAAGAGATGTTAAAGTGAGGAAATCTAAACCTGAGTGGGTGAATCAGAAAGTCTATATTGTAATTTTTTAAATAAAAAAAGATATATAACAAGATGAGATAAACTACCTGAAGGTAACAGATTGTTACTTTAGAGAGAAATGTTTGTGATGTAACTAGTATTTGGAACTTTAATTGCACTTGAATTTTGTATGTTAAACCTTTTTTTGTGTTGTTTTGAAATGTGCCACATGTGGCGGCGATGAGAGAGAAGGACAGCCATCTCCTGTCGTCGCTCCCACTCTGTAGCTCAGAGTTATCCCCAGTATCTCTCACAGCATCAACATCTCAGAGCCTGAGACTGTATGTTAAAGTAAAGCACACAGAGAAAAGACTTTGTAATGTTACATCACTCACACCTGCCACCACCACTATAGTTAGTCAGTGTTTTCACTGCTTCATCCCTCCAACGTGTCCTACAGGTGCCAGAGAGAAGAAGCACCGCCATAATAAAGACTTCTTGTATGATGGCACTACATACACATAGTACTACTACAGTATATACTTGTCTCTACAACACTAATATCTGCATTCACCAAGATACACTCTCTTTCCATTAAACAGGAAGTATAGTGTGTATACTATACTTTTCTTTTATAACCCAACTAAATGTTTTGTGTCATTCCCACTGGTACCAACATGTCTATGAAATCCTGAACTGCATATTGAAGATGGACTCTATATCTACAGTGTGATTGGAGTTGTGAAACAGTGACTGGAGTGTTGGTCTGGAGGTCACAGTCTGTGTGTGTGTAACACTCGCAGCTTCAACTGTAACTTTATCTGTGTGTTGTGTTGTGCATAAAGAAGCTAGCCTCCCCTGACAAATGATAAACATGCCTATGTAATATCTCTTATTAGTGTTAATGCTTCTCTAGTTACTAAAGTCAACATGATTCATGGAGAGAGAAAGTGTCTGTTCTTTGTGCTGGGCACGAGGACCATGAGGAGTTTCAGTGTCAGTGTCAGTGCTGATTCACTCATCAAAGCCACTGGTTCTGGATGAAATCACCATCCTGGACATTTTGTATATTACGGCTCAAAGTACAGGTTTTTGTATTTCCTCCAGACAGGCAATCACGTCAGTTCATTTCAGAGCACTGTGGAAATCAGTTTTTGGAGATAAATAATCCATCACAGTGAACAACTGGTTGTTTAATTTACACAGAAGTTATCATAGCTGTGTATATGTGTGTGGTATTGATGGGATTGTTTTCAGAACTGACTAAATCAAGCCTATAGCCAAAAAAAAATCTCACCTCAAGGTCCATTTAGTAGCTGTTCTGGAGCTTTAAGTCATATCACACAGTCTTCATCAGCAGAGGGAATTTGCTAAGTTGAATGGAGTGAATGATGAAAATGTTAAAATTAGCATTTTCGTTGGCACAACTTCTCATCCATATTGACATCAACATTCATAACAAAACTGCTGGGGAACTTTCTGTCATCTCACATGATCTTCATCAGTAGATGAAGTTTCTGAGGTCCTTTAAGTACTTGGGAAAGGTGCAGATTTGCCAATTCCAGGAAAGCTGGCTTTAACTCCATTAGCAGATGAAGATCATGTGAGATGGTTGAAAGCCCCACAACAGCTACTAAATGGTTTTTGTAGTCAGATTTTGTAATAAACTGCAGTGCGAGACATAGAAAAGCACCATTGTGTCTCAGAGCAGTGTTGCTGTGTTGCTTGTATTATTTAGGTAAAACACATTTTGACATCACAGCAGCTGCTAGTTACCAAGCCATCTCCAAAATTAAATGATTGCTTATTGTCTAGATTTGATGATCCAACAACTCTAGAATACAAAATGTAGAAATAAACATCATTAGTGTTGGATTTTTCAGATCTTTGCTCTTTGATTTTCATACTGGTCTGAAATGAAAGCAGCGGATAGAAGGTGGTAAACCAATCAAAGATCTTTGGAAAACGTTCTGCTGTCACATGAAGGCAAAACCACAGTCCGGTCCTTCAGAGCACTGAGCTGGTCATATTCCAGGATTTTATTTCAAAATAAGATTTTAACAGTTGAGGGAAATCATTTTAAAAATTGATATTTTATTGGTAGTGGCTGATAATCACCCCTTAGAACAGATATACTCTTTATCATACCACCACGTCAGTCAGATAATTTCCCAAAGTAAAAGCATACTGTTGTTAGGTGTTGTTCCAGGCCTTACCAAGTAGCGGCCACGCAGACATATTATGGCATGGCCTACTTCCTGTTTGAAGTGGGCACTGTTCACTATGAGTGTTATGAAAAAAGGACATGAAATGCTCAAAAATTTATAATTGACAGTTTTTTTTTCCTGAGAATGTATTCTGTTGTGAATGGATGAGTGTATGTGGTGTGTATGTGACATTCTGAGAGTGAATGTGTGAGCAGCAAGTGTGTGTTTCTGTGTGTGTGTTTTATGAATGTGTGTGTTTGTGTGTGTGAGTGAGTTTTGCCGGACGTCTGTGATTGAGAAAGAGACTGTGTATGTGTGTACTTTAGTCTATTTTGTAGAGGAATAATTTTAACGTTTGTGTTAGTTGGTTGTACCCAAAGAAATAAACTGTAACGCAGTGTTGTGCCATTGTTTGGTCCATGAAACTCTAGTACTGAACAAATTAAATAAAACAGTAGCAGAAAACAGACTCATGTTGTGTCTTCTGTGCATCCATGTGGCGTCTTCTTGTCAACAGTGAACAGCTTCTATCTGCTCATTATATCTCTGATATCTCTTTCCACACAACTGGCCCCATGTAAGGGAGAGTGAGTTAAGATGAGCCATTTTTTACTTATGTAGTCCTCAAGACTAGGGAATCATCAGTTTTCTGGACAAAATGTGAATAGAGACTACCTTAGGCCATTGGCAGGAAGATGCCAATGAAACGTGTACAACCAAACGCGTCCATTGGCAATCCAAAGTTCTTGGAATTTGACACCCAGTTGTGTCTAATGGACAATTGCTCTAGGTGGTGGTAGTGTTTTTTGTCCATAAGGAAGAAGTTTTGTCCAGTTCAAAAGGCTGCCAATTGGACTTAAACCTTTACTAATGTCCATTCAAAGGAGTTATTGTCCACTTTATGCCAATAGCCATTTTTGTCACCAATGACGATTTTTCTAGCCAGAAATGTCCAGAAATAGACTTGCAAACAAAAAACTGATTGCTCCCATACTGTCCGAAATTGTCCACAGACCTTTTCTGGTCCACGTCGACCAATAAGGCCCACCTTTTAGGGGTCAGGAAGGGGTCCACAATGGTGACTGCCAGTCAAGTTGACAGGTCTGTTTGACAACAACAGTCCAAATTTATCTCAGGTTGGTGGGGCAACTGGACAGGATCAGCCCTATGTTCCCACTGCCCTATGATCCCACAGCCCTATGTTCCCACATTTCTAAGAATGTTTTGAAAATTAGGCCCTATTTTCCCACAGTCTTATATGTTCCCATAAGCCCATGTCCACACTAACCCAGGTAATATTTATCCGGTTAGCCCTTCCGTCCACATTAGAACAGTGAATTCCGAAACTGAAAACGATGCTTTACAAAAACGATCGCTGAGGTGGATAAATGTGAAGACGCCGTGGAACGTGGATGCAAAGCGTTCTGAAAACGATTAGTGTGGATGGAGATTGTTTTCATTGTGAATGTGCATTTTCATATTTACCCGGTTTAATGTGGACAAGGCCTAAGATTTTTCTCAAAAGGAAACCCTATGGTCCCATATTTCTTAACATAGGGCTGTGGGAACATAGGGCTGTAGGAACATAGACACACTCCCAACTGTACTACCGATGGTTTGACACATCCCTGGGCTGTAGTTCCTGTTGGCTCCAAATGGCATCATTCTTGATTAATTAGCTTTCCGATTTCCCATGCAATTTATACTCAACAGGAAATTTTAGTGGACAAAAGTGGACAGTCCAATTCAAATACCTTACCATTGGGGCTAGGGTATTTGAAGTGGACAGTCTAATTTAAATACCTTACCTTCAAGGCTCATGAGGTGAAAAGTTCAAGTTGCTCTGATTTGTTTGAAACTCAGCACATCGCAAGCTCTTCCACCAGGAATGAATACCCCCAAATATCATCCTCCTAAAGTAAATGGTTTTGGA